GACCTTCGTAACTGAAACTTCCAGCTGCTCTGTGTAAGGCCTCCTTTGAAGAAGACCCCTGTGCCTTTCTCTGGGTCTGTAGCCAGAAGGTGACCCTTGCAGATAATTCTGGGGGAACCAAGAACTTCACCTCCGTGACAGGTACAACGCAGAAGTGACTGAATAGCAGAGACCACTAAGCAATCTACTTTCTCTCTCTGCCAATTAACAGTAACAAAATCCACTCTCGTCCAAGAGAGATCACCGCTAGTCACTTTTAAAACTGTTGAAGCAAACCTCTTCTTTCCTGTGGAGGGGAAATGAGGAGCAGGCATTTGCCCACATGGAGCGGTGAGCGTAGGGCACCGGGGCGTGTGCAGCAGCCTGCAAGGACGTTAGCTGCTTCCTGGCATCCGCATCGGCCCCAACGGGCTGCAGCGGGTCTGTTCTCCCTGCACGGAGGAAACAAACACCTTCGCGCTGTGCTGTGAGCTCGGCACTTCAGCAGCCTTCCCTCCCTTAAGGAGCACAGTGCTCTCCAACCATTGTAACTAATTATTTTTTATACCTTACATTGCAAGCTGGTTCTGTGATAAAGTACAGCTTCATAATGCCTGGCCAGTTTAAGAAGCCCAGCAACACAAGCAATAATTACATGGGAGCAAATTACTCTTTGAAACACAATTCCTTTAAAAAAGAAGCAGTAATATGTAATAGTTCTTTCTCTTTTATGTACATTCCCATTCCCACAAAAAAAGGTGCTGAGTGAAAAATCAGCCTTCTTTTTTTGCCAGGATTTTTTATAATCTTACCACTGCCAGACTATGAAAAAGGATCCTGTTCTGTGCTTTGCCATGCTACAGGTTTCTGCATCCAGACATTCCTCCTCCATAAAACAATCACACTAACCTTTCAACAGCAGTGCAGGAAGAAGTCAGGCTCCTCGCTGCTATCAGTGCCGAGGATGCAATCCCAAGGGAAAAAGAAACACCCCATGTAAATACAAATGGACAAAACTGATAAAACCTACCTTTTTTTTTTCCTCCCAGAAGCAGCAGTGCTTTCTGAGACTGAAAGTGGTAGAAATGAACTTGCAACTGCATTGAACCTCACCAACTTCCTCTCTGTCTTTTTTTTTTTTAGTATAGACACAGAGCTGTTAGAAGAATGACAAGATCCCATTGCTTGACCTTTCTCTGAAATCACTTTTAAACACGCAGCTTCAGGAAGAAAGGTGCAGAACAAGTGTGATGTGCAGTGGATCATTTGATGGTCTTTAGAGGGGTCAGGCTGAAGGTTGCTTTTGAGTTTGTGTGTAACTTCCAGTGTGCCAGATTGTTTGTCCCAAAGACATGAGGCCTGGAAAAGTAAGTAGGTGTTCCTTATTTCTGGATAGAGACAGGCACATCAATGTTTGTATTGTGGGAGGAGAGGTATATTTTTTAAATTACCAAATTTTTGAAGAAATCAAATGCTTCAGTTAGTGGCACTGCAACTAAATGGTCAGACAAGGTAACAAGATACCTACTCACTTTTCTAATTCAGAAAAGACAGTAATAGGTAATATCCAACATTGCTCGGGAGCCCATGCACTCCACCTGTCAAAGGAAAATGAGCTCTAAACAAACAGAAATGAGAAACCTGTCAAAAGCCAACAGCTTTGTGGGGTCCAGCAGGGCTGTCCCAAAGTTACCAAGTAGATGTTGCAGTAAAATCCATTTCAGGGCTGCAACAGCCACCAGGGAGACAGAAAAAAAGAAAACCAAAGAACAGGCTGTAGCACCTCACCGAGCCTTCAGGCACCTCCTCCCTTTTGTTCCTCTTGCTCTCTCTCATGTCTGCCTGCCTCTCTTTCCAGCCTTGCCCCAAGGAAGGCTGTAGCATCTAAAACTACCATCTTTCAACCTTTCAATTCTCACAAACTGGTCCACTATTTTATAGGTGCATATTTCACATAAAATCTACCTTGGGCCTTTTCAGTCTCTGAATGGCTCCAAGATGACGAAAGATACTTAACTGAAGTGCAATTACCACACTTCATGTCAGATTCTTTCCCTTTTATACTATTATCATCAATAATCCATTGAAATCAAGGGACTTCTTGAAGAGGTTTGTTTGAGCAAGTAACTGCCTTGTTAACTAGATTTTAAAATGGACAACTATATTTCTCCAGATGCAAGCTTCTCCGGCTCAGACCAAATTAGAAAGCTGAAATGCTCAGACTGATCCTTTTGTCTCTTCAGCAACGTACCTTGCAGCCAGTCAGGCATCCCGCCGGTACACCAGCACACTGAAGCAGGAGCCCCTTGGCATGCCCTGGCCCCAAAAGAAGTCTGTTTGCATCCCAGGCCGTGTGGCAGCAGGGTCTTGGGCACTGCACGGCGTTCCAAACCACGCGGACCTGCCCAGGGCCATCAGGGTGAGGGGAAGACAGCAGGAACCTCAATGTACACAAATTACCATAAGGCCACAAAGGCTCTTCATTTCACCCACCAGTTAACGCTTCCGACAGAAAAAACTGTCTAAAGACAGAGGGAGCACAGGAGTCCCTGTATCAAACAGAATTGAGATCAAAGGGATTTCTACTGTGCATCATCAACTTACATGTCTGAAATTTGCCTCTCTACCTCCCGCCGCTGCTGTAGTATGATGTATTGTTTAACACTGCACTTAATCCTTTTATAAGAGATCCACCAAGTTTAGTTCAGGTCTAATGTTCCGCTGTTGAAAGGGAGTTGGTTGCTGGGACCTATCCCAAACACATCTCCCTGCTGCTGTTCATCCCTGCGTACTTCTCTGTCTCTACATCTCAGCTATCACACACTTTCCTTTAGCCAGAAAAAGAGATTTTTTTCTTTTAACCAGATGAAAAAAAGAAAAAAATGTCCTAGCTACATGCTCTTCTAAATCAAGAAGACATGAAACTGCGAGTGAAGCAGATGCACAAAGACCAGTCCTTTCTGTTTTTATTCCATGGGGGTGGGAAGGGAATAGGCAGTGTGACAGGAAGAAGTCCTCTCTCCTCTTAGTACTTTTCAAGTTCTGTTATATCCACTTCTCCTCAGTCAGTACTTACACTTTTCATTCACAGAAATAAAATACCACATTAAGGATAAGATAAGGTGAATGAGTTCCCTCTGCTATACGAAAACTCTAGAAAAACCTGCAAAGAGGCTATGTAAGCAGAAAGCCAATAACAATAGGATAAATAACAACAAATAGTGTAAATATTAACAGGTAACAGGCCTCGATGCAGAAATGAACTCTTATCATACTATACCAGATCAGTTTCTTACAACCCAATGAAACAAGAACAATGCATAGGCATTTTAAGATAAATATAGTATGTTACTAAAAATGTCACATCCTCTCAAACTTCACCACCCAGTCCTAATGCATCAAAACAATACACTCCAGCTATCATCATCCTGGTCAAGAACTGACTTCTTTCCTCCCCAAACAGGCTTAGAATAAAGGCCTGTTAATTAATTAATTTAAGAAGCTATTTCAACAGGGTTGAACTGCTTAGTTGCCCCCTAATCCTAAATGGGCTTTTTTGATATATGTATTTGAGGATTGACTGACCTCTCATAGGAATAATGAATTAGTTAATAATTCATTATAGGAGCCTTATAATTCAGGTATAGGAATTTTTTTAAATTTTTTTTTTTAGTTACAGGTGGTTCCCAGGACCACATGATAGCAGCAAGCAAAGAAATCCATAGATCTGAAATTTAGAGAGGCAACTGCATTGATTATCACAGCCTAAACATTTACGCTTTTCAAGAAGCCACATCTGCCTTCAGACATGCCATCTGGGGGAAAATAAGACATGTATTTTCAGTATTATATGAGTGTGAATGTCAGTGTCCCAATTCAGAACTTCGAAGTTCAAAAAATCCTTGTAATCTCGTGCTCACTCAGTACTTACTGCTACGTTGACCAAAAGCATCTCTGAGCATTGCTAAGGCAGAGATTTGTCTCCAAGAGGAAAAGCCGAATAGAGCAGCTCAGGTGTAAACTAGCACATAACACTCACTTGTAGAAAATGTTTTATTCAGTACACTAGCTACTTTTAAATTTTAAGCTAATTTGAGGAAAACAGCAACCCGTTACTACACAAGGTAGCAGAGCAGTAGGGCTGGAGCCTCTTCTTGGAGGTGACCACCTCCCAGTGCCTCATTTGAAAATTTTAAGTTTCTTCATGTTTACCTTAACCTCCCACTGTCACAAATACAGTAGCTGAAAGTCCAGAAGCGTAGCACAGCACTTTGGTACTGTCCGGTTTAAGTGAAAATGCATTTTCTTTAGCCATTTTCCCATTGTGAAACTTCCCATTTTGAGCCATAAACTATATTCTAAACTTATTTTAGTTGAATGGGAAAACAAAATGCCGTTTTTATTATTTTGTAGAGTTACAAACCATCATGGAGATAAACCAGATCTATTATCTGTCCTACTACTCTCTAAAACAGCTGTCTACACTGGAAAACTAGAACCAGAGACTTCCAGAAGTCACAGAATAATTAATTCTCAGTGCTTTTCTATCCGTCAACAGCAGACTTTTTTTTTTTTTCTTTCAATGCTGAGAAGATTATAAACGCCGAGTTACTTTGGGCTATCTGAGTAATGATTTGGGTTTCAGATGAGAACTGTCACAGTTGAAAGCTTAAAGCTCTGTTTGCTTGGCAATGCCTCACTCTATTTTCAGAATTACGCTGTCAGAACTGTTTACAATCCAGAGCAAATTACTGACTTGGAGAGATGCAAATCCACCAAGCTCTCCAGAAAGTCGATTTCACGCACATTGAAATAAACACCGTGACTTTAGATTTATCCCACGCTAAACAAGAAAATTCATTTGGCTCAAGAAAAAAAAAAAAGTAAGTAGGAAGCAAGATACACTATCAGCAGCAGCACTGCCAGAAACACGCAGGGAGAATAACGCTTCAAAGCTGCTCAGCTGCCTGAGGCTCTGCTATTCCATATGAATAACTAGAGTTTTCCCTTTACTCTAGGTGCTGTCATTTATCATCTTTATCTGCTATATTGCATCTCTAGCTGCCTCTTTCATGATGGCACCACTCCTAGAGTTTCTGCTGGCATTGTTTCTTTTTTTTGCCTATGCCTCCAAACTTAATGAGAAGTTTAAAGGACTCTACTGGCATTTGACGGTAAGTGAAATGTGCAATATAAAACACAGATTTAATTGTACAGTATAGCATGAGTATAAGGAACTCTGTGGGAGTTTAAGCTGACTATTAACAACTTCACCCCTTTATTAGAAACTTGTCTGTACTGCCTCTCATTCGAAAGGTCCCAAAGCACTCTTTAAACTATGCTATGCTACATACTGTAGCTTTCTTGGTGCTGACAGAAAGCATGGCTTTATTAAAGCACAGAATTTATACCTGATTCCAGGCAAATGGCTTAGGGCTGGATCTTTGGAAGCAGGCAACATCAGCCTAAGTAACTGACCGCTGCTGGGGACACCTTAATATTGCCACCCTTACAAACGGGGAAACTGAGGCTTGCTATATGGTAATGCATATACTTGACTACAATGCAGAGCCATACGCACATCCAAAGTGACAGCTACTGTTGTTACGGGGGGGAAGCCCCGCAGCTCTTGCGGCCGATGCTCGTTCACACAGAGGAAGCCACTGGCTGTTCACTGGCAGGTTCGCAGCCGCCGGCGATTAGTGCACAGTGGCCACTGGATGTCTCTGTTGCTTCGAACATACATTGGAAAGGGAGCATTTGTCTAGCAGTACAAATACTTCAAAAAATGCTAATCTAATCGATCTGGATTCTCTTTTGGTACATTCTAGCAACGGTTCTTCATAGTGAGATGTGAATTAGAGCTCTGAATGTATAAAAATAACATTAGCAAGGCATATGGTGGATAAAACAATAGCAGTGACACTGACTGTGACAATGTATGGTTTTCAGTTGGTAATCTCAGTTCCATCATCTTCCCATTTTTGTATGTTTATTGTGTCCATTACTATAATACACTCCAGCCACAGAACGTAGATAAATGACCTTGTCCTGACTTCAGAAGAGTCAAGTTTCTTCTAGGAGTTGTGTTTGGAGACAGTATCTTACTCATCCACCCGTTCTGAAAAGGCTGAAGATCTAATTGTGAACAGAGGTCAAGACACCATTACTCCAGCTCACGTGGTTTATACGTGCCCTGGGAATCACAGCTGTTTATTTAATATACAGTTCAGAGACACTGTTGCTCCGGCACATCGCTGCTTGTATTGTAGGGCATGGCCCCTGCCCTGCAGAGCTACAGCCTCAGCCACAGAAGCACGTATTTCGTGATAACAATGGGTACGTTCACTTCAGACTAGCTGTTGGAGTTACAAGCACAAATCAGTTTTAAATACTAAATAAAGTGGTTAGTTCCTAAATGAGTTCCTGCAGACAAGCCTACTCCTATATAGAAACAAGCACATGCCTGTTCCCCACAGGAGCTGGTACGCTCCTCCAGAGCCTTTGGTACCGCAGGAGTTCTGCTTAAAGATGAGACTTTTTAAGGCATTTCAAACAATTCTTCCGTTAGAGCCCTCGCTGCGCTCCAAGTTAAACGTCACCGAAAGACAGCCCTCCTCAGCCTGAAGAAACATCTGCCTGCCATGAGCATGTTAAAAGTAGGATTTATACCAACATTGTAAGAGCAGCAGCTTATGCAAAGATTTTGGTCATCTCTCATTTAAATATATTTCCCAGATGAACAATTCATCCGCTACCAGGCTGTAGTCACACCCCCGCATGAGGCAATTCCAGTGATGCACCAACAAAGGTTTTTAGTGGTCATTTCTGAAATCGTTTTTAGAAGAGTTTGTGTGTTGGAATTACATGACTAATCTGAGAATGCAACATTGCTTATTTTACAGGATTTCTTGCGGTGCGTCACTGCTGCCATTATTTACTTTGCCATTTCAATTGCGGCTGTCTCAAAATACAACGATGGAGCATCTAAAGCAGCAGGAGTAAGTAGATGTGAGCTTTCCACTTAAGTATTTTGGTGAATTGTGTATGGACGTACTTGGGAAACAATGCAATTTTTACTCCATTGGAAGTAGCAGAAGTTTCTTCAATTAACTGAGAATTAGATTTGCCTAAAGCAAGGAAGAAATGGTCAGTTATTTAGAAAACCAGGGTTTGAATTGATGAATAGTTTTTTCATCCCAAGTTCTGCTCAATCTTACCTGTACTACTTTGAGAAGGCATTTATTCTGCTTTTTAATTTCACCAGCTGTACAGGGAAGATAAACTTCTCTGTTCCTGCAAAGAGGATCAAGATCCTTGAATGGAGGGAATAATAATAATAAAAAAATCAAACCTATAACTACTAAGGGCAGTCTAAATTAAGTCATTTCAACCTCCTGCCTCTACTGCTTGATTTTACTTGGATGAGTTGAAACAGGAGCAGTGTCATTTCACGTTCAATATATGGACTGCCCAGGAGAAAGCCTTCATCGTCAGCATTTTGTGTTCAGAAATAAGATACAGCCTTTCCATCTGCAGCTTGACTCAAAGCATCAATAATGTATGCAACATAAATAACATTTGCATAATGATTTTAAAAGATAGGGAAGAACAATACCCCGTAGTGTTAGCCAGCAACCCTTACCTAGCCTTCCCAAGTCATACACAATTTCAAAACAAAGACCTTGTTTTAATCTTTGTCACTCTGTTCAGACATGGAGCAATGCAACATAGCATTTACCCTACCTTCTCAGACTGAAACCCAGCCTATTCCTGCCACATTGCCGCTTCTTTGACACTAAATAGGTAACTCCAGAATCATTTTACCTCAATCTAGTTCACTCTGCAATAGATATGTCTCCTTGCAAACCTATAAAAATGACTCCCAGAGAAATCGAGGTGATTTTGGGGGCAAAGAGATGCCCGGGGATGGTGGAGGTGCAGGTTATATTCTCCTGTAGCTTCTGGCACAGGGCAGTGCTGATGCTCAGAATGTGCTCACAGCCAGAGAGGGGTGTAGCCTGGGGAAGGGCTCAGGACACATCTGATAGAGCAACTGCAGGGATCACTACTCAGTCTCCCAAATTAGCTATCATTGGGTTGATGCCAATGACTCACGAGACATTTCCCTTCTATGTCTTTTTAGAAAAGCACAGGCCAAAAAAAAAAAAAAAAAATCAAGCCCAAGTCTTCTTTGAGAATTTCTCTTGTGACTTTCAGGCTTATTTTGGTTTGTCACTGATGGATGTGACTTGTTGTTCAAAGAGAGTATTATTTTGCCATTTCAGGTGTTTGGATTTATAGCCACAATAGTGTACGCCATTGATTTCTACACAACCTTCAATGACCTGGTTACTTTTCTCAAGCAAGGCACTTCTGATTCCCCTGAAGGGCGCAAGTCAGAAGGTAGGTAAAATTCCCTGTTTTAGTTATACGAGCACGTAACGTGAGATTTTCTTCTCCGTTTCACCTTCACAAGGGAGCAAGAGCACTCACTAAGAACAGTTTCCATTCTTGGCTACCTTGGTTTTGTATGCCACAACTATGCTGAATTATGAAGCTGCTTAGTCTTAAAACACAACTACTGGAATTTCAGTGATTTATAAAGATAACTAGCAAGCCAGGAATGTGAAGTTTCTCAGAGTTTTGTGCCATCTAACTTTGAAAGGCCCCAGATCCAATTATAGAAATTATTGTGCAGCACGAACATTATTCCTCCCATCAAAATGTATTGAAAACCAAACAAACTTATCTACCTTTTTTTTTGATAACTTAATAATTAACATCCATCTTTTATGTCTAATAGTGCTTTTCTCTTTATCAGGTCTTTATCATGGTTACCTCTTATTCAGGGTCATGGGGCATGTGGACAAATGGCCTTGAAATCCAAGGGCCACACAGCATAAAATTAACAAGGTTGTCATCAAATGTCATTCTAATGTACGAGGTGCAGTCTACCTCAAATCAGACAGATCCACTTAGACAAAGATCAGAAGAGGGACCCGTTGTTGGGAGTTCAAACCCATTCCAAGTCAAGTCAGGACACAGGTAGCTATTCTGCCCAAATCAGGCATCGTGCCCCTGTGATACTACTCATTGCACCCACACAGATGAAAGAGAGCACTCCGCACATAAAAACAAACAAAAAATCCCAACCCCCCCGCAAAAGACCCCCTACAAAACCCAAACCCACAAAACCCTTCAAAAACAAACACCCAAGACTCGTACAGAATCCTATACGGTATATAGTAACGCTAACAGTCTTTTCTAGGTATTTTAGTTGACTCTTAGATATTTTGCAAGCTTTAGGCCAAAAAGAGAGACAAAGAAAAGAATTAAAGGAACAGATCATAGGAAACAGACTGTTAAGACTAAAGACTGTTTATCCCTACAAACTGAACTGACCTGAAGATCAGGTGACAAGGGTACAAAATTAGGCTAAAGATTAGATCTGATTTCCCTGGAGATGAATAGAGAAATATATAAACTTACAAATATGCAGTCATGCAGCTTTGTGTTGATAATCTGACCATGCAAGAAGGGCTTTGCCCTGCAGCACTGTTCCTCCAGCCCCAAACTCATATTCACACTGGGGCTTTCAACTGCTGAGGCCAGAAATCCCTTGCTTCCTCACAAGCAGAGTCTTGAGCTTGGGCAAACTGTACCTCTACAGGCCTATCGGGATTTCCTAACATCTTAAAGCTGCTGGCAGAGCAGATAGGTTTAACTGGCAGAGCGTAACTGTGACCCACAGCAAACTGCAGTATTCTAGTACAGGAAGCGTGTCTTCAGCAGACTTCCTCTTGGTGGTCATGCTAACAGCAATCTCTCTGCAACTTCTTTCATCTGAACTGTTATCTACGTTGTAGTGGTCTGCGTGCCTCTCGGCAGCGTTTCTCAAGTCCTTTGAAACACCATTTAAAGGTCCATCATGTTAGTAAGAACTGTCATTTTACAAGCCTTTTCCTAAATATGCCGCATTCTTTGAAGCAGACACCTGCTGAAGAGCAGCATATCTCTCTCAGCAGGAGCTAAAGCTGACGTTGAGATTTCCAGTTTTCATTTTCACTGTTGTTCCTTGTTTTAAGTTTCAGATGAGGACTCCGATTCAGACTCTGACTGAAGAACTGAACACCAACCAAGTGTGAAGGAAAAATGATCAAGCACTTTCCTCTTTGCTGAATGCACTGCCAAGTGAAATATCTCCCTTATTTCAGCTTCTGTATCCTCTTTCATCTCACTGTTTATGGAATCACCGAAGCACAGGCAGGGCAGTGATGTGGAAAGGAGACTATTCCCAATGCCATTAGACAGTCTTTCAGAACTACAGATTTTACAGTCGTTCAACCTGCCACATAGGTCTGTATCCAAACAACATGTCTCAGTTCTCCGTTGCCCCTCCTTAGTCAGCACTACAGTGTACTGAGTAAACGGGAACATAGTATTTTAAACGTGTAAGCGGAGCTTTTAATATGCTTTCTTAATTCAAAATCTTTTAACACTTATAGCTTTTATACTTTTTGCGGTGCCAAAGAAGAGGCTTGGAATGCCTCTGCTTTATTTGTATTTTTCTTGATTAACTAACAGTATTTCTTTATCTGAAGTCTGAATGTTCCACTATCTCAAGCACTGAAGGCACAGATTATAGTTAACCTGTTGGGTTTCAATACATTATATCTACTACCTATCTTTGACAAGAGAAAATAACAACTGGAAATCTGCAGCAAGAACAAACCTCAAAGTATAATTGTGCCACAGGGTAGCTGGCTCATCAAACATTCAATATCACTTTTTTAAGGTGCTTGTATGGGGTCACATCCCATCTTCTGCAGTTTCACCACAGATATGAGGCAGAACAGATGAGGCATCATCTTACCAGCCCCCTTTCTACCATTTGTGTGGAATCCCTTGTATGTGTTTGCGCATCCAGATAAGGAAGGCTTGCCAAGTACCATCCAACAGTATCTACCTATTTAAGCCTGCAAATATTTGTGCACAAGATACCACTGTCTGATCTCATGCTCTGTGTTGCAAACACTGGTCCTCCCGTGAGAAGCAGCACTGGACTTAGTCTGCTGGGTTCACAAAACAGCCAACTGTTTCTGTAAAACTCAGGATTACCTGGACCCCGCGAGGGCAATACATCCTTCCCACTGTGAAAAGGCAAAAAACTAACCTCCAGACTAAAGAATGTCTGCAATGAAATTTGTTTTCCCAGACACACACCCCCACTTTTTTTTTTTTTGCGGGGTGGGTGGGGTTGTTTGGGGTTTTTTTGTTTTGGTTTGTTTTTTTTTTTTTCCCCTGGAATTCCATGATTTATCTTGTGGCCTAGTATTCTGGGGGAAAAGCCTTCTGAATTTACAAGAAGGTGTTTTCATGGGTAGCACAACCTACCTTGAAATATTTGTGTCCAACCATCAACACATTCTTCTTGGAAAAAGCATGGCATGCTCCTTACACATGGCATCAGACAGGTCTATTTCAAAGAAACCTGTATACATTAAAAAAAAATGAATCTAGTACCAGAACAGGTGGCCTTAAGAGTAATTAAAATGAGAGCAGATGGTACTAACAGAGTAAATGAAAAACAGGGATAAAACAATAAAGGCAGATTTCCTTTGGAACAAAATTACTGCTTGGGTTCCAATTCCCTGCTAGCAGCTGGCTGCTAACAGGCAGAAACATGGTACCTAACAGCGAGCAGGTGCTTGGGAGGGCACTGGCCACATTCAGAGTTGTCTAAGAGGCAGCTCCTATATCTCCTGTTTCCAGACCACTGAGGGAATAAAAACAAAACAAATGGTTGCTTCTAAATGTGACAAATCATCTTTCCTTTTATGAGAAAGAGCTCTTTGGACCTTTTCCTGTATGAAATTCCACGTTTCTTTCTTTTCTGTTGTCATATTTTACTGACACGCACTGTGACGTCAGGAGACCAGGACTCATTTTTATATTCAATTGGTTTGTATTTCTCTTTTAATTAAAAAAGCGTACTGCATGTCATGGTTAATATTTAGAAACCATGCTAGATTAAACCTCTTTTAATACAAGTGTTGGGTGTCTTTACTTATTTTAAGATCTGGTTTTACTGCCTTGCCTCCGGCCAGCGAGAGTAACGGTGTTTCAAGAAACTCCGTCAGGCAGGAGGCTGTGTGCTGGGGAAGCAGACAAGAGCACAGAGCCAGCACTGGAGACCAATCGCTCATGTTGACACGTCTTGCAAGGAGAAACTTCATCTTTAGCGCATAAGCATGAAAGAATTTAACTAAGGATTAGCTGCAGTGTATTTAGTACACATGGGAGACACAGTGCTCTTACATGGCAACTAATAAAGTTGTAAACAACAATCCCCTTTGGGTTTACCCTTCACAGACGTGTTATAGCCTAAAATCTGCTAAGGTTTTCTAGTTATTTTTTCACATTGAAATACTCCTAAAATCAACAGAAGAGGCAAACAAAATTGCTCATTAGTTGCTTCAGGACTACTTTAGCAGGCATGCAGTGAATTACCTGTCCAGAGAATTTTGGTTTTAACATTCAAGTAGTTGATTTCATTTACTTCTAAGCAGGCTCTCCTGCTTTTTCTCCTAGCATCAAACACTGGTGTAATATTCAAGCCATTTATTTAAAAAGATCTGTTCCCATGACACAAATAAAATACAGTTCTGTATTTTATGAATATAATTTCAGAATTCAATTAATGAAAGGAGAATTCAATTAAAAATAATTACTTTAAAGCAAATTCTGATTTGAGTGGGGGCCTGACTCTGTCTTTTGTTCATCTCCTGCCACTAATACTGCACTAAGCTCAGAGTCTGGTGTAGGGCAGAGGAAAAGTCTGCTTGGTTTTTTGGCTTTTATGTTTGTTTTTCCTCAACTGACAAGATCAAAATAGCAGGAGCACTGGTTTCTCTGCCATCAGGATTCATGACACAAGCATAACACTACACCTGCAGCATGGAGGCCTTACTGGAGTTCTTATTTTGGGGTACCAGCAGGGTCATAATCAAACACCTCTTTTTGGTCATAATATATTCTTGTTCCAAAGAGGAGCCATTCCCAAAACTCATAAACGCTAATAGACGCCTTCATCACAACTAGAGCACAACTATTCTCATTTTGAGTTCCTGTGCTTGTTGAACAGCACTCAGCAGCAGCGATGAGAGTTTCCAATACCAAGCATGGAACAAATTATGCAGAAACAATGCAAGAGGTCTTATGATCTAAATACTGTGAATCAAAGCCACTAACAGAAAGGAAAAATGATCAGCTGGCTTCACAGACAAATGACTTCATACAGCTGTCACCCTGTTTGAAGGTCTCCCACCTTCTCCTATCAAAAAGCTTTTATACTCATCTGTGGAAGATTTGTTCAGTCTTGTGCAGTGATTTTGGACAGGTGATGTTAAGGAATTCAAAAGACCTTTCCAAGCAGCCTTTTTAGATTCTGACTGAAATGAGAGGCTCGGCTGCCCTTTTAACACTCTGTCCATTACTCCACTTAATTTTGCTTTTCACCTGATACCGTTCAAAGATCTGGAAGTCTTAAATTTCCAACTGACAAAGTAATCTCCACAACATTAAGTGAAAAGTAGTGTATCTCGGCATGCTATTTGAGAAGAATGTTTCCACCAGCCTGGTGGGTTGGAAAGCAGAAGACAATTTAATGCTCTACATAGCAAGTAGATTTTTTCATTCTTACACTTCTGGTAAGCGCTCATTGTGCAAATTTCTAAGCCTGCATTTTATAGCTCCATCTTCTCCTGCTAGGAGACCAGCATCTGGTACCAGTAAGTGAGCATATACTTGAAACCAACCACTAACAGTGCATGTTTCTGACACCTGCACTTCTTAAATGCATAAATAAATGAGAACAACATATATATTGCTACTAGGCCAGGCTAAATCTCATAGCAGGCAGCTTGTAATCAACCTCATCAGAGGTTAGAAATAATAAAATTAAGTGGCTTCATTCCAAAGACCAGGACACAAACTGCCCCTGAGGAGCAATATACTTACCACCATGCATATGTAAAAATACAAAAAGCAGCTCCACCTAGCCATCCCTTAATCTTTTTTTGAGCATGGAGACAGAGAGACAATACATCAAGGAAGCAGAAGAAATTTAGACAAGCACTGAGAATATAAATCTTATTACAAGATACTTGAGACACCTATTTGCATGGAATATTGGTTTACAAGTCAGAATAGAGACAACATCTCTTGGTTTTCTTCCAGATAAACAGGGCTGCACCAAAAAAACCACACTGCAACACAGATTCCTCCTTCTGAATGTTTTGTAAAACTTCTAGGTCAGAAGGTAAAACAATGCAACCCAGAAAATTTAAATGTAATTTTTTTTTTAAAAAAAATATTTTTTAAGAAAAACCCTCAATTTTTCAATCTATTTCCTCAAAAAAGAAAACAGCAATTCCAATGTAATTTTGGCCAGGTAATACTTGTGCTTTGATTTTATTTATTTTGGATATTGTCCATCACATTTCGTTAGCCTGATCCATTAAATAGGAAATCAATTATAGTCTTCCCAGGAGACTGAAGGAAGATTCAGTATTTAAGTTAGGCAGAATAAACTTTTTTTTTTTTTTAATTCGACAGCTAACAAAGCTTCTCTTGACCAAGGAATACCACGGACAACAACCGCAGCAGCAACATGGCATTAAGTCCAGCACTTTAACTCTTTGTTTTCTTAAACAGCATCATCACATTAAGGCCTGATCTCTAAGCAGGTCCAATGGATGCAACACCACAACTGATGGAAGAGTCCTACTGCTGCTGACAGCCCCACACAGGCAAAATGAACTGGCCCACCTTGTAGCAGAAAAGCTGTACAAGCACATGACTCTCCTTAGGGAATCCTTCTGTAAAAGCTCAGTTGTACCCACCCCCTCTGTCCACCTCCCCAGTCAGTATTTTAAGAGCATCATCCATATTTCCAAATCTTTCCACAACACTCCTTCAACCATCTGTGCGCTTCTGCAGTTCTTACCCTACTAACTCTGTGCTTTCATCTCGCACCTAAAGCGCCTGGACTCCAAAAATCCCAACTGCATCAAGGCAGGACTTGCAACCTACAGTCCATGACGTGGCAGAGTATTATCCACTCACTCTGGCATTTCAGCCCCAAAAACACCTTTTCAGTCCAGAACGTGAAGCTGCAAACCACAAGATACAGCATTTTGGCCCATTACGGTGTACCAGATGGAGAGACTTCCACAAGAGCAATCCCACCACAACCACTCTAGCAATAAAGCAGTCCGTGTGCTTTCTGCTACATATAATCTCTCATCAAGGACTGC